TGACTCAATGACAGGCCTTATGATACATCGCGCACGTGCTAACCATTCGGTCATCCCCCGTCAAAACTTCGCTTAGTTTTAAACTCAGTAATTGTGTATCCATAAAATTGCACCTTGTGTTAATATGATCAATTACCAAATGCCTATCAAAGAAGGTCTACTTAGTCCATTCTACACTTTTTTTTATTATTGTTTTGTCGATTGTCAACCAGCCATTACAAATATTACTTCCCCATTGTCTTATAGGATATGTTTTTCTTTGTTCATTATAAAAAGCGCCGGAAACCATAAAATACAAGAATCGTGTGGTGATTATACAATGCTCATTGTGTCTTATGATATTGGATTTTCGGATCCCATGTTTTCACGGCAAGATAACAACATTAATATTGATTGAAATGGACCAATATTGAATTCTAATTCGAATTTTTGGAAAATATTGAGTTAGAGGTTTAACCGCACTACACGCAAAACGAAATTGATGAGACAACCCTGCGGTCAAGACAAACTACACAGACATTGCAAGATATAGACAGCAAATATCAAATCATGTAAATGGATTCAGGGTCCAACCGTTGTCGTTAGAGTTACTGGAAATCTATTAGTATAGCGATGAAGGGTAATAACTTAAATAATAATTATTAGCCTTTTCATCTCATGAACATATACACTGATTACAATAACTTCAAAAGCAATCAAAAGATAGCTTCGGCATATTGGGCACCCGCACCCATTTACAATGATCTAGGACAAGAACACTTCCAGATCTTTTGCAGAAATTCTCGTCGATCTCAAATCAATGAATGTAGGCTACTTTGAAATATTTAAAAAAAATATTTTTTGTTATGCATGAGCATTAAAATAACATGTCACACTTTAGCATTACATAGAAAATATTTTTTTCTTCACTTTCTTTATCCTGAAGAGGTTCTCTTTGTAAACAACATTTTGAATCATTCCGAAATTCAATTTTATCGTATCAACAAAATGTTTCTTACAAGCTTCACTCTTTTACAGGTGAGTTTGAGTTTTCATTATTTCTAAGTTTCAGCCACATTTAACTTTGACGGCTGAAAATATCCGAAATACATTTAAATCTAAGAATAAAATAAAACACTTGTATGGATATACTACTTCTGAATACGTTATCAGAAAAGTAGGACATTAAACCCCATTTCCGCAGTGATTCCTCTTTGACAGTGGTGCAGGACGGGGGTTTGGCAAGGGATAACGTATAGTCGTTCGAATAGGACGAAAAACCCGAGGCCCCATTTACATATTGGCGTGCACTTAAAAGACCCCCTGATAGCGGCGCTACGGCCTGCTCTTATATCAAATTCTAACTTCCAGGGGATCTTTTACGTGCGCACCAATGTATACACCTGTCCTCGGGTTTTCGTCCCATCCGAACGACTAGACAGCTGTCCTTGTCAGACCCCCCTTCCTGCACCCTTGACAAGGGGAATCCACGCCGGAAAATCTCTATGAACTTTCTCGGCCAACACCGGGAGCGAACCCGCGACTTCCAGGCTAGCGAGCCAGCGTATTATTCACATAGCCACTGTGGCTCCCGGGGCAGAACAGTTCGACGTTCAACCCCATTTCATTTCATTTCATTCTCCTACTTTTCTGCACCAATCGGACTATTGAAGATAGGCATACGCTATGCAGAGTGCTATGACGGAAATTTTCAATGGGCCGTGGCATTTCTTCATCGAATTTCAACTGTAAGTGGGTAAGACGCTGGCTCGCTAGTCTGGTTGTCGGGTGTTCGATCCCTGCATTGGCCGAGAAAGTTCATCCAGATTTTCCAGCGTGGTTCTCCCCTGTCAGTGATGCAGGACAGAGGGCCTGACAAGAACAGATCCCTTGACAGTTGGAATTCGATATAAGAGTAGGCCGCAGTGCCGCTTTCCGGGCAAAATTTCCCTCATAGCACACTGTATGGCGTATGCCCGTCTTCATTAGCCCAGTTCGGAGTAGCCCGTTAAACCCAATTTCATTTCATTTCATTTCAATCGTACCATGACGTGATAAATAGACAATTCCATTTATTAGGATCATGAATCTTATCCATTTTCCCTATTGTCGGAGGCTATATAACCAGGAGTTTGCTGACAGAGAGACGAGCGGGGAACTGAAAGAAAGGCGGAGAAGAGAGGCTTCGACGAGTGCATGGATTCACCCGATTTCAGCTGTTGCCATGGCAGAGTGGCGCAATGGCGGATTTAATATAGTTAATGTACCGTCCTGATGTGTTTGTGTATAGTATACTATAGTTATAGTTCCTGTATTGTTGATGTTCCTGTTGTATTTATGTATCTATTTGATATTCTGTCCACGTTGTAAACAAATGCTATATTTACTAAACTGATCTACATCTCTAATAGTGTTACACTTTACAGTGTGTCGTGCGCGGACAAACAAAAACATCCCCAAAATATACATTGGCCAGAGAATAAGACTTAGAGTGTGTTTAAGATTTTATAGGCACATCGGTTACAGGTACTTTGAAGCGGCCCCCCGAACCATATTTTCCCAGAAACTTCAATAGCAATTTACACATTTGGGAGCATTGTGTGAAACAATAGTTCATAGTATTGCATAATATTATACATACAAAACCACCTAGTAATAAAATATTTGGGAAAAAAAAGTGATGCGTCGCTTAAATTTTTAATTTCCGTCCTAGTCCGGACTTTTTTCCGTATGCAAATGAGCTTCGTCGTAGATCCCATATAAGGTATATATTCTAATATGCTAAGTTCTATTATGCATTTGCCTATAATGCAAAATGCAGAATGGAGAAGTGCAATGTGCAAAATAACTATTATACCGTATTTTGTATTATTAAAGGACAATATTGGTGTCAGTCATTATTACATATTTTATAATGACTGACACCAATATTGTCCTTTAAAAAGTGTATTCTGTATTTCAACACCGTGACAATGGTATTGTGGAGCAATGGAAAATGCAAATTGTGAAACTAAAATACGTATTTTGAACTGCTGACATATGTATTTTGCACAACAATGAAATAATATTGGCACCGTTATACTTCCATAAATTTCTTGTTACCAGATATTAGCGATATAGCTCCTTTAATGTATAGTTTAACTACCAGGTACTTCAAAACATTATATTCACAGAAATGTATTTGCTGAGGGCTAGATCTATTTGTTAAGGCCAACTCAATTTTCGTTAAGGTGACTGAGATGTAAATAAGGTTAGGGAATGTGATTGTTGGCGAGATTGTAGGTTAGGGTTAGGATTGGCGCTAGCTCTGTATACATCTTGTAACCATTGTCCAAACATGAAGTTGGCCTTAATCAATTACATCTGACCGCATTTGACGGGGCTTCTATTAAGACGCCGTATGGACGTGCCTCTCATATTTCTAAAATGTTTTACTTTTGTTTCCGAGTCCCGATTTGTACGATCAATCTGGTGAGACGATTATCACTGAATATCAAAATATTGTTTAATTAATCTAATACCTAGTGTTAGAATTATATTGATTTATATTATATTATATTGATTATATATAATCAATATAATATACTATATATTGATCATATTGGTTTCGATATATATACTATATTGATTATATTATATTGATTTCGGGGAATTTTCTCTTATGCCCCCCTGAACTACTTTGAGCTACTACGCCTATGCCTAAACGGAGAAAGTGGTCACGTGAGTTGTTGTCATTAACAACTGTGTTAGTTACACTGTATAGGCGTTCATAGCTGCCAAAAATTACAACTACTAATAAATCTAAGTCTTTGTATTTATTCCAGATAATTTTCAGTATTTTGCTGATGTACATTCAGTGATAACGTCATTTAATTCTGATCTGAATTAGAAATAATATTTTTGCTGACTTTTTCAAGTCAGTTCTTCAAGTTCTATCGGTTACTGTCCATGTTGCACTTGTTTTTGGTATAGGTGCATACATAGCCAATTTAACTTGGTGTATGGAAGATAATCTCTGACAAAATTATCTTCTAAATATTGACTTACAATGAAAATAACAATAAAATGGCCTCTAAACCAGAATTAGAACATGCGCGTGATCTCACGTCACTTCAAAAATACAGAAAAACTGTTCGGTAAGATAAAATAAAAAAAAATTTGGAAAAAATGCCAAAAAGTCAATTTTTGTTTGAACTTTGATAGACGGTAGCACCCTCTAAAAAATGTTTTTATTTATTTTTTTTTCATTTTTTCTCGCCAATTCCAACATAATTGAGGGTAGCCCCTTAACTTTTCTAAATTTTGCAAAATAAGGACCACCCTACTGCCAAAATAACAATGCTTCTCAATCTGAGTGCGCAAGTCCGACGGATGACTCAAAATAATCAGACTCTTGACACATGTTTTCTGAGAATTCTGAGTCATACTATTATATATAGTGCATTATAATATATTATGATAGCTGTAGTATGAAGGATAAGATTCACGGATGTCTGAAAAAATTTAGGGTAGTTATTACTATACGTGTAGGTCTCTACTTGCAAAAATGCCCAATTTCTTTTATGCTACCTCCATTCCCATCAGCTAGGAAATGTAATATGTCCCCCAAAACAACATATCGCACATGTATATTGTTATTGAAAGAATACTTTTTGCACAATCGCTGCCATGTTGGATTTTGGATGTCACAAATGAGTTGATCCTGTGACCAACAAACCTATACAATGACATATTACATTAGTCATTTTTTGTTTAAGATCTCTTTCAGACCATTTTCGGTCTCCATCTTAGATTTTCGGATCTCCCGAAGTTGTTTTCGGAAGTAGCAAACTACAAATATCTTCACTAGGGTCCCTTCTATCAGAAACCATCGTCAAACCTTGTTCCTCGAGAACCGGTCAAGGATCTGGGGGTTGTGCCCCAACTATAAAACCGAAGATTGAAGGGCATTAAAGTATTGTTGTTTTTTTTGGAGGAGTAAAGTTATACCCCATTTTATTTCATATAAAAAACACTTCTTATTAAACAGACTCTTTATTTAGCTAGCAAACATAAAAAAAATCAAAATTTACATGAACTGAAAAGCTTATTTCTAACTGATTTCTAGAATTTACATCTTTCATAAAATATCTACATCATTCATTCATACATACTGGTTTAATAATGACAGGCATGACTCATATGATAAGCAGTGAAGTAGCTAGCCTTGAGCTAAGCCTCATTGATTCAGGTAAAAATAAAGTACTGATTATATCTTCCTCTAGTGGTGAGGGTGAGTGACTGGGAGGGGCCTCAGCATAGGGCCAAATCCTTAGACGAGGCTCTGTTATAGTGGTAAAATACAAGTTTACTTTAGCCTTGCTGCACTTGCCAGCTGGACAATAAATTTGACCGTTTTCAGTTGGTCCCCATCATCAAAATTTTCCTGTATCCATGCATCATATAATCATCAATAATTTTAAGTTCTAATTAATGATTACAATTTACAAAAAAATATTTAAAGTGCTAATTGATGATCTGTAATTAATAATGATTTAATAATGCTTTTCATAAATGATTCCATTATAATGCTAAAAAGAAACAGTTACATGTATACCATTACCTAATCTAACTTATAATTTCAATGCAGAATTTCAAGATAAATTTACTAAAATGTATTAAAGGTTACATTATCTTTCACAACACATCATATTGATAATCAATGCAATAAAGCATTTGAATATTGGTACACATAACCCTTTAATATTTATCTTTGTTAAAGAATCCTGTACTGCAATTGGGTTTATACTTAATCAGACTACACCACCTAATAACAATGAATTGTTCCTATTTATAAGAAGTGTAAACAAATAATACATCAACCACCAGTGGTTGCCAGGCAAGATATGCCCACTTTTTGCAAGAGATGGATAAAGAACAAGCTCAAAAAAAGAAGCAACTTTTGGTACAGGAAGTTACCTCTTGAGGGTTTCAAGCTAAAATAGTTATTTTTTAGTACATTCAGGGGCCATACTCCAGGAAGTTACAATCCGATATGCGCAAATATCGAAAGGAACACAGATCTTTGGGTTATAAACATACTTTTCAAGTTTTATCAAAATCGGATGAAAATTGTGACCTCTAGCAAGTCCACAAGCTAAAAATGTGATTTTTTTTGGGTACAAACTTGGGCCATAATCCATGAAGTTACGATCTGATACATGCCAATTTCGAAAGGAACTGAGATCGTTGGGAGATAGACCTGTAGAGTTTCCACAAGCAAATTGTGGACAGACGTCTGAACAGGAGCAACGACAATATACGTCTACATAAAAATGTGGGCGTATAAAAATAAATCTAAAATATTACACAGATAATTTTTTTATAGCACTTTATTTACCAATAATCATAAAATAAATGAAGCAATAATTTTAGCAGAATGGTAAAATTATTAAATTTCACCTCATACAGGCGTGTGTTATTACTTAAATGTGTTATTCCTTTCAATTGACCAATAAAATATGCTTAAAATTAATAATTATTTCACAGCTATATAACATTTAATTTCAAGCAAATTTAAAGAGGTCTAATTGATTTCAACAAAAATCCTCTTAATTACATTAATTTATGGTTCATATGGTTTAATATATACATGGTTACATATAATATATACATGAATAAATTGAGACAATAAATCCTGGTATCATATACAATGTGTAGTCACATCCTTCTATGAGATTTCTCTATAAAGAAGCATAGAAAATATATTTTTTAAAATGTACAGTAAAACTTAAGATTCATTTTTAAAGAGATATGCAGATCAAAGGTAAATGCATTGTAGTTGAAATTGCTGACAGATTTGCAATACATGCCTACCAGCCCAAATGACTACATATATAATTTTGGGTACATTGACTAGCATTAAATTTAATACAAGTTATTAATGGCAAGCTAAGCTTTCGATGGCAATTAGTTGTATATTTTAGAATGGTGTAATTAAATAAATTAGGAACATAATACATAATTGACTTTGGTATTAAAAGACTAGCTTATAAAACAGATTGTGCATTTAATTATTACAGTAAATTATATTCCTTGGTCTATTCTAGGATCATCTTGAATTAAGTAGCTTGTCATGATTTATAAACCTTTTCATCGATATTTTCCAGGATCGTAATTGTGATAAAAAAAAAAGGCTCTCCTCCATGTAAATATCCCACAATTAATCATTTTGGCAGGACTTTTGGGTTTTAGTAAATATATTTCTAAAGACAAACTAAATAATTTTACAAGATTTTTTGGCTTTAGTAAAATATATTTCAAAAGACAAATCAAATAATTTCACAGGATTTATTGGTTTTAGTAAAATATATTTCAAAAGAAAACCAAAGCTAGCAAAACCAAAAGAATAAATAATAATAATTATCTGAACAATAACAAAAGACACTTTCAGCATCTACAAGTTGTGTTGAATATATTAGATATAAAAAGACTTCCATTTAAAATATCACAAATAAAGAACAACAAATACTAAAGGGGGAGTTTCAAATATATTTTAGGCAATGAAATAGGTTAATTATGTGTGAAAGTCAATTCAAAACTGTTATCCTGATCTATCTGAAGCTCCCATGTGTAGAGGAGTTAGTACATGTAATAAGTTTCTAAATTCTACCCAAGCTATATGAGTTGCATATCCAGTCAGCTATTTAATTTGAAACTTTAAAACATGGTAAATAGTCGATTTTGTTTCATTTTGTTAGGGTATCTTGAGCACACTTGAAATGTGAGACTGTTACTTTGAAATTTGACGTAAACGTGTAAGAAAATGTAACTAGTTTTATTGTAAAAGCAAAATATATGTCATATTATTTATAATAAAAATGTTTGAGAAAGTACTTATATAGCTACAATAAAAGTCAATCAGAGCTTAACAACATGATATAGCTATGTCTCAAAAATAAAGATAGTCATTGACAGCAGGTTATTCTTTAGGACTTCAAGGTTTTCCAGACACATAATATATCTGAAACGGAAAGCATAGATGCTGAAATTCAAAAGAGTTCATCCTCTCTACAATCATTTTGCTTTACAACAAATTTGAAAATTAATGGGGTTCATCCTACAGTCTTAATGCTTCACATCAAATCTAATTTTTTTTTTTGTTAAAACCTGTATTCTCTATTGTGGTCACAAGGTTTCAGAAAAGGGTGTGTAACCTTCAAATGAAAGGTTGCACATGGCTAAAAATTGGTAAGGGTAGTCCTATAATTACCACATGCTTCACACCAAATTTGAAAAAAAAATAGCTTAAAATGTAGCCTCTATCATGTTCACAGGTCAACTGTAGATGGGCGGAATGACAGACAGATCGAGTGATGACATAATGTGGGCATATGAAAATATTTTTCAAATGGATGAAGCCAAAATTGAGAGCTCATTTTTATAACTGCTATATTACTTAGTACATTCATTTAAACAAATTTATATAAATTGAGTCTTTTACACCCTCACACTAAACACACATGGAGAATTTTGTTTTCATAAATTTATAGAAATTAAAGTCTCCAATAAATTAATAAGCAAACATATATTATGTAGTGACTGGGGTTTAATATCCACTACACACAAACTAGGTCAGACTTTTGGACTAACATGCTTGGTGTAGGTGTTGTTAGTGGGAGGAGAACTGGGAAAAATCCCCAAGATATTGTGACCCTACAACTTGTCATGTACAAGTGTTGGATCTAATAAATATAAACACATTATCTATTCTAATTTTTGATTTTGGTATTTAAGGACATAAATAAAATAAAAGAGGATTTATTCGGTTAATATTACGATAAACCATTTTTAAAACAAACCAAAACAATTACAAGATCCGCATCCACCTACCAATTACAAAGTCTCTCAAGCTGCAATTGCATTAAATCTTAAAACATTAAAGATGCATTATGCAAGAGCTATATCTATCATCAGATGCTTTTGATTTTTAATGGATTTAAACACAATTGCCAGTTAATAATTTAATTAAGAAATGAATAATCAAGATTTTGTTTAAAATCGTAACAATGGTAGCAATGACTATAGAGACTACACTGTAGTCTGTTAAGAATGAAGTAATATATGACTGAAATTTTTAACATGTTCCCTTTTCATAAATTTTAACTATTATAGCGAGAACTGTCAGCTTTTTTTTTTATCTAAATCTTACATAATGCATCTTTAAGGAGAAAAATATTAGACTTTTAAGAGTGTTTTTTTTTTACAAAATATGTCTATGTCTGTCTTGAGACCAACTGAATATAATTACAAAGGTTTAGATGAACAAATATTCACAGCAAATAACCTGTATAGTACAACGATTACAGGGTAATAACTAATTGATGAATTTGTGCAATAATTTCGATAAGGTAAAATATAGTTATGACTAAAATTTTTGATTAGGTATGACTAGAGAAAGTGGCCATGAAATAAATCCCCTCAGCAATTATAAGCAGCCAGAGAATTAATTTTGTGCTCACATTTTAAACAAGAGTTATAGTTTATTCCAGCATAAATAAGGTATTCTGTAATCCATATGGCATAGACAGCATTAGTATAGATTTTTCAATAAACAAAATTTAAACAGAAAGATTTAAGTTTAACTATGACTATTTTTATACAAAATTATTGAAAACTAGGTGAAGCACCAATTTTTTTTTTTTTTTTTAAATTTCCCATTTCTAATTTTGTTTCAAACTAATATCATCTGGCACTCTCATACAATTACTCAATCTTCTGGCAATATATCAGCAAGCTGAAAATCAATTGTGCTGCTGTTCCCGCTCTTTACTTCAGTCAAAACATAAAACATAGAATAAGCATTTTGTTAAGATGGGTTAATTATGTATGCATTATTTTTAAATTTATTTTCAGCCAATTCCCATTATTAGGTCAAAACAGAATCAATTCAGTTATGAAGAATTTTTTTCAATCAATTTCAGTGCTTTTTTAATGTGAATGTATAAAAGGTCATAATTTTAACCTGCAGAGCACAGTGGTGACAACATTAAATGAAATTTGGGCATATAAATAGGAAAAGTCATTTTGTGAATCATATAATTTTTTACAGAACTTAACAGAAGACAATTCTTAGCATAACCCAATAAATTTAGTTTTTAATGTATCTGACTTCTTTCTAAATTCTACTCATATCACCGAATAACAAAAGGGCTATAGGATCTTCAGTTCCTAAGACTTTAAAGGCAACCTTTATTATGTAACCTGCTTCCAATAAATTCATAAATATTGTAGTCATTAATATATTTGACTTCTTTCTACTCATATTACACGTAAATTACCAAATAAATTTATTGGTTATAGGTTCCTTTGTGTCTGACAGTTGACAGATGAATTTGGAAGTAAATCTTTCTTTTTTTTCATTTCATTACTTTCAAGGTTGTCTTTACACGGAAACTATCAAAATATATTCTTCAAATATAATGCAGACAGTAAAATTTATTTTGTGCTTTTGCTTGTAAATTAAGAGACAATATGTAACAATTTATTGTTTATTAAATAAGACAGAATAAAGAATAATGAATGATGGTCTTTTTAAAGAAATACATTAATAGTATTCCATAGATATATTTTATTATATTTCAAAGAAGACTTACCATTAATATATTTTTATTCTTAAATCATAATGGAGATAGCAAAGCAAGAGAGACACAGATGGAGTTTAATGTCCACAAACTAGATGAATTTGCGACTAACATAAGGTTCAATTTTATTTCAATAATATGCTTGTGCATAGAGGTCTTAAGTAGTAGGAGGACCCAGAAAAACCCTACAAGGTTGGACAATCGACCCGACTTCTTGCCATGTACATGATGGGAATTGAAACCATGCCACTTGACTCAAAAGCAAAGCAAACTTTTCCATAATATAAGCATCTGAGGCTGATATCCCCCCCCCCCCACCCCGGCAATCCAAAAATAAATAGATGACATACTAATTAATTGCACATTTATCATTTTGAAAAGTATTCAAGCAATCAAGGTGATTATCTATACTTAGTCTAAACAGAAAATATTCATGATCGAACAAAGTCATGGTTTCGAAGTACCTGGTAGTGAAACTATACACTAAGTTTCATGACTTTCCATCAGTTAGAATCAAAGTTATCTTGTCTCACAGCATCGTGTCAAGGCCACGGTGGCTAAGTGGGTAAGACACTAAGACGCTGGCTCGCTAGCCTGGAGGTGTGGTGTACGATCCCTGCATTGGCCGAGAAAGTTCATCCAGATTTTCCGGCATGGTTCCCATTGTCAGTGATGCAGGATGGAGGGCCTGAACAGGACAGCTGTCTAGTCGTTCAGATGGGACAAAAGACCGAGGTCCATTGTACACATTGGCATGCACGTAAAAGATCCCTTGGCAGTTGGAATTCGATATAAGAGTAGGGTGTAGCGGTGCTAGCCAAGCAAAATTTCCCTCATGGCACACTGTATGGCATATGCCCGTCTTCATTAGCCCAGTCGGAGCAGTAGGACGTTAAACCCCATTTCATTTCATTTCTCGCAGCATCGACCAATGAAATTGCTTAGCTCTGCTTAGCTTTAGTGGATAATGTTAATCATTGAACTCAGTCAAAACTTTCACCTAATGAACATCTACACCAAGTTTAAACATTCTACCACAATTAAAAGCGGGTTGTCATGTTCCAAAGTCTTGACCAATCAAACTGCTTATCGCTGCTTAGCCTAAGCAGAAAATTCTCATCATTGAACTTAGTCAAGGTGTTGGTATAATGAATTTATACTCTTGTGTTTTATCACCCAATTAGAACCAAAGTTATCATGTTCCAAAGCATCATCCATTCAAATTGCTTATCTCTGCTTAGCCTCAGTGGTAAATGCTCATGATCGAACAATGTCAAGGTATTCACCTAAAAAAACACCTACACCAAGTTTGGACAATCTACCTCAATTAGAAGGAGTGTTAATGTGTTCCAAAGTCTCGAACAATCAGACTGAAGTATCTACTTAGCAGAAAATGCTCATCATCAAACTTAGTCAGGGAATTGATGTAATAAAACTATACACTCACTCTCCCTCAATTAGAATCAAAGTTATCGAGCTTCAAAGTCTCAACCAATCAAATTGCTCAGCTTAAATGCTTATTATTGAACTTAGTGAAGGTACTGATATAAAGAAACTATACACCATGTTAAATCATTTTCGCTTAACTAAAACCAAAGTTTTTGTGTCTCAGACCATCAACCAATCAAACTGCTTATCTCTGCTTACCCTAAGCAGAAAATGCTCATATCTCCGATCTCCATCAAGGTATTCACCTGATAAACACCTACACCAAGTTTGAACATTCTAGCTCAATTAGAAGCAGAGTTATTGTGTCCCAACAAGTGTGACGGACAGACAGACCCATGTTAATAGTCTCTCCGGCTTTCTTTGAAAGGCGAGGACAATAAGTAACATCTAAGCCCCAGTTAGGAATATACATTTACAGCATAAAAGGTTAATCACTACACTACAAATTTCATTATCACGTTTCTGAAAAAATTAACATATTTCTCATTCATCTTTGAATGAATCTCTTATAAATACAAATGTCTTTTAACTGTTATACACTCTGTGACAATATCTAAATCACTTTGAATATTCGCCTGTTTGACATAAATGCACCTTGAAAGTCAACAACACAATTTGTACTGAATCATGGCCTGTCATACACATCATTTATTCTCCATAATAAATTTATATTTATCTGAAATAAATACATAAATATATTTATTACGTAAACCAGACAATTAGACTGCATATGGGCACAAAATACATTTTTTGTAAAAAATAGAACACATTAAAAACTTGAATAAACATCATCACTTCACCATTCAATTAGAATCCAAGTTATTATGTTCTAAAGACTTGATCAATCAATTGCTTACAACTCAGCAGGTGAGTCACGATGGCTCAATGAGTATATCAGGCTCTTGGTATAACCAGGAGGTCTCAGGTTCGA